CCTTTTCTACCTATGCATGGCTGCTTGAGGAAGCGGGGCGCATAGCTTAGTTTGTCTTTGAGGAAAACTGAGTTCTAAGCCCAGTGTCTCAAAAATGGGTGGTTTTCTGCACACATTCAGATTATTTTAGAACTTTCTTGTCATAAATGCTGACTCTTAAGGAAAAGAACTTCCTGACTCAGCTTGATTCTCTTGCTCACCAGCTTTTTCTGTAGTTCTTTCACCAGCTTACTGTGTAGAAGGTGGAAAACTGCCTATATAGTGGGATTTACATAATCATCGCCTTATGCCTTCAATAGGAGCTGCGTGAGGAATCTCACCTATTGGTTTGTGAAATGATAGTCTGCTGGTTATACAGGAGTGTAAAAGTGATGTAGCCATGATGGTCGCCTTGCATTCGAAAGCTTCTCTAACCCTTTCCCAGCTACATACTTGGTCTAATCAAAGGTATCACCCTAGGAAACCCTTGCCTCTTGTTTATACAGGAGGCATCAATGGGTTCAGACCAAAACGCAGCTCTGAAATTCTAACCATTCCACATGAATGCTGGAGGCCCTTGAGGCCTACGTCCATACTTTTCATTTGTCTTTTCTCTCCGTAAAGAGCTGAACAGGAGCACTGAATTCTTAACTGAAGAACATGAGTGGAGGTGGAGTCAGATTTGGTTCCAGATCTCCCCTCCTCAACCCATGCCCATCTGTAGTTAAAAGGCAAGGTGAACTTATCATTTGGCAAATGACAAATTTGCCCATTTCTTAAGGAACTCACCCCTTTTGCCATTCTCGCATTCAAGGGCTACAATCTACTTCAGTGCTAGGTGGAAAATCTCTGTCTTTACCTGCTCCCCAAACAGGCTGTGCAGCTCCTGTGGCTCCACTAACCATGCCAGCCCTTTTGCCATTAGTAAACTATAATCATATTATTTAAATACATTAGCAATCATGAGGCACTCAGCTAATACAGCTATGAGAGTTATCCATACAAAGACATACCAGAATCCTTTCTTGTTCATGTGAGCAAGTTCTGATGTTTTCCTCAGCTTCTAACTATTTCCGGCAGAATTCCTATGAGGTTATACATCACATAAAACTTATTTGTCTTGCACATGATCTGACTTGCTTTCCTATTGAACCATTTGAATGGTCGCTTTGGGGGGGGGGGGGGGGGGGGGGGTGGTGTGTGTGTGTGTTTTTATATCTTGCTTGTCCTGGATCTTGCAAGGCATCTGCCTCCCTGTCACTAATTATGTTAATGAGATCAGGGGTTGACTGAGGCTGTTATAATGCCGGCCTCTTGGTTTACATCTGGAGTATCGGGCGTGTTTATTACAGATGTCTAGGAGAAGAGGATCCATGTTTTCTTTTGCCTGTTTGGGGTGGGCTGTGGGGAGAAGATGGGAGGAAAAGGAGAAGGAAGGGGGAAGAACACACGAAGTGAGAAAAAGCAGATGTCTTTGCTGTATTTGAAGCCCTCTCTCAAGAGAATTGCCATTTCCATGGGGTACAAAGCGATGCCTGCAGTCTCTTGCAAGCAAAACCATGGTCGTTTTTTTGCATGTTCTTTTCTCAAGTACAAAATGAATCAACTCTTGAAAGAATAGCTTGTTCCTGAGGGCCAGCACCCTGTTTGGTATGTTGATAACTTTCCAGAGCTGATGTGTATATTAGTCACCCTTGCTGGTTCATTGGTGATCTGAAAGACAGAGGTTAAATAATTGCGAAAGCAAGGTTGATGTCATCATGGTGCCTGATTGAAGCTGGTACTTGGGAACCGTCAAGAGAGATGTGTTTGCTTTGCTTTTGCTCAGGGAAGGGGTCATGCTGAGCAGCCGTTCTCAACCTTTTCTCAAACATGCAGTCCAATGCAAAATGTCTGTGTGACTGAGTCACCCCCTCCTCTCCAAACCGCACACCAGTGAATTACAGAGGCCTGAGCTGTTCTGCTCCAGACTACATGTGCTTTCCCTTCTGCATTTCTGTTGAATCCTCTTTCTATCTGCTTCTTCCCATTCCTATACATGTGAAAGGTCCTGGGGCTAGTCTATATATCATATGCATGACTATTCATGTGTACTGCTTGTGATTGTCCTATGTGCTCTATCATATGGATATGCTCAGCATGCATTTGGGCCTGTTGCATTTTCTCTATTGTGTATATCACTGGATAAATGTATTGTATGGGTCTATTGAACTTCTATGGATTTCATGTGTATAATGATATATGATATACATACTGTCTATGTGTATGGGCCTGTTCTGCTTATTATTTGCTTAGTGCTGAGCCTATAACTTGGCACTGCACAATACATAAGAAATAATGACAGACACTGCCTTAAAGAGCTTGTAGTCTAACAGCCAAGTAGAACACAGGGTGCACTGGGGAGGGGAGGGCTTAGGATGGCCTTCTCCTATTTATGTAATAAAACATACTTGCTTTGTATGAAAAATGGTGGGGGTCTTTCCTCTTCTTGAGGATTTCAGAGCTCTCATTGATGTCAGCTGGGGTACTGCACAGAGCTGGAACCCCTCGCAGTGCTAGTCCGCCCCTTCTCAGTCTGGGATCTTGCAGCTCAGGGGCATGTTTGAGAAAGTCCTCAACTCCAGGTGGGGTGGGCAGTATTTGGGAGAGTGAAAATTATTCCTTTCAAAGTCTGCTCTGCAGCCTCTCCAGTAACGAGTACAACAACATACATGTTTTGCCCTTCTGATTACATCAAATGTTTAAAAGCTCTGAGTTCAATTGATCAGAGATGTGCAATTATTTAAAAAAATAGATGAAGTAGAACATGAATGAGTGCAAATACTGAAAACCTAGCAACACAAAGCTGCTCTGCAGATGGAAAATAATTGGTGATCAATTAGTAGACGTGGAGCCAAACCAAAGGCCTGAGTTTGAGGGCTGGGAAGACTTGGACCCAGAACTTCATGCTGATGTGCTATGCATCCAGGAGGAAAAGCTTTAATTTCTCAGAGCTTCTAAGAACTCACATATCTTGGGTTTATGTTTCAAAGTCAGCACAGCCTAGAAAATAAGGTGAGGAAGCTGCATGACCTAGATGATCTTTCTCTTGGCAGTACCGTAGTTTTACCACATTGTCCCAATGGAACATCATCCCATCAAGACCTCCTCTGTATCATCATTGTGGTACTGCCATTCCTGACTGTTTCAAGGCATGGGAGCATTGTCAGCATTTACGTGTAAGACTTACGTCCATGTGGTAGGTCTGGGTTGAATCTGAATTTCTCTGAGCCTCAGCCACACCAAAAGTTTAATAATACCAGTAATCCTTGGCTCTTATACGAGTCCTGTATCACATAAAGCAATTCAGTGTCATTGTGGCCATATTGCACAGAAGGAAACCAAGTCATGAAGATGGGTAATGACTTACCCAGTGTTACATAATAATGGAGCCAGAATAGCACCCAGGCATCGGCCTGTTTTACTACAGCGCAACTACCTCATACAAGCCAGGAATGACTCTGGTAGGTGTTATCAGTTTGCCTTGTTATTGCTGTGAGCACATGTCTTGCAAAGAGCCTGCAGTCTAAGGGCAACAGTTTGCATCACCATGTGAGAGAGTAGTGCTTACTTAGGTCAGCTTGTACAGGGAACCATCCTTCACCCAGGAAAGAGCATGTAGGGGGAAATTGGTTTGGAGCCACCTTTGCCATTGCCCTAGTCTTGGGGGACACCCCAACCCCACTGCCACAACTTGCTCTGGTTGGTGACAACACCCAGGAATGACTAGAGCACAATATTGCTTTGACCACAGGCACTTTTTCTTGCCTGTTATTGTCAGGAGCTGCAAGCTGTGCCAGCTGTTTGTGCCAGGGACCAGGCGGGGAACAGAGAATGAAGGGGAAGAGATGGGACACTGTTGCCGGAGCCATTCTTTTGTTTTTGCCCAATTCAGAAGAGTATATGATGGTGAGGGAGTGTTGTGGCAGTCAGACTGACCTGGTTTATGACCCCTCTTACCCCAAAGTAACATAGAAATGCAAATTCGGAGAATTGGGCCACAAAGGGTGGTGACACAAGACATTTGCCATAAGAGATTGACTTAACTGAACACAGAAACGCCTCTAGTTATTTGTGGAGAACCGCTGACAGGGCTCAGGAGGGATCTTCAGGCAGTCTTCAGCTACAGAAAATTGGCTTATAATCAGGTAAACCTCATAGTATAGTCAGATAAAACTTTGTAATTTTAATGATAACCCCTGAAACCCAAGGAGTGTCTTCTGGCTCAGCCTGGTTTTGTTCAGGATCCTGAATCTATTCAAGCCTCCAGAGCTGAGTTTTCAGCAGGCTCACGATTAAGTTTTAGGTAAACCTGATCAGACTCACAGTATCAGGGGGTTTTCCTTTGGTTTTGACTACAAAATAGGTCAAAATCAGTGGGTAGCAACCATACAAACACAAACCCAAAGCAGGATTTGTGAAACCCCTTGTGGAAAAAAGTGCTATGTTTGAATCAGTTGTAGGTGAGAGTATAGAGAGGTATAAACTGGAGGGAAGTATGGTAATCTTAAGAGCCTGTAAGAGATGCAGAGAAAGCCTGTGGGGGCACAGTAAAATCGTCACATTATGTGAGTAATCCATTGTGATGTTTCTCTGATGTGAAATAGAGTGAAAAGTGATGAGAATGTATTCCTTTTAATTTATCAGAGTTATGAATGATTCTTATTTTGCCTTAACAAATTTGCTAGTAGTTGTATTATATCAGCTGTGAACTAAAAGGGTTTTTGAGACAAATTTTCAAGCTTCTATTGCTGTGGATCCCCCTTCTTGAACTGCTCCATCCAGTAAAGGTTTTGGGTAACTGAATCCCTACCATTTCTGATATTACAGACACTTCAGATATTTCTTTGCTAGTGAGGATGCCATTCCAAAAGTTTACCTATTTATTCAAACGTGTCCATTGGAAAAAGTATATCCAAACTCTTGCAGTTCTTTCTGATGTAGAAATTGCCCTAGAACTATTTTCTCATGGTTCTTTCCAGACTGCCTGATATGGGCCAGGGTGAAGTATCCTGACCAAAGCTCTTCTCTCAGCATTTTTGCTGTACACACTGGTGCTAGAGACCTGGGCAATAATGACAGAAGAAGTGTGCTGGATTTGGAAAGAGTTGCACTCCATCTGAACTGAATTAACTGGTCCTAGTGATATCAGCTATGAGGTGAGTTTTGCCTTAGTTTTTTAAACGAGAAACACAGGGTGCATTGGCTGGAAAATAACTGTGGAATAGGTGAGATGGACTGAGAGTCTGGGCAGAGGGCTGAGTGCGAGGGGACTGAGTGCTGAATGAGCTCAAGCTAAATTATATTTCATTAGGATTTGGGGTGGAAAGCAGGTGACACTCAGCGAAGGGGTGAGCTTATGTTGAATCTGAGGATTATTGCAAACCTGAAACTAGGTGGCTCTGCACTATATAAATCAAAATCAGATAAAGACTCCAACAAACCCTTGCAAATTGAATTGATTGGTTTCATGCTGACCCCATTTTCTGGGGCTTGAGGTTGGGGCCAAGGTTCAGTTCAGCTGTAACAGCAGGACAACCTTGCTTTCTTGTCCACCATTCCATGTGTAAGATATTCTGAATTTGTTTCTTGGATAGTTCTGGTGAATTAGATTGCCTGGTGCCGGTATCACTTTTTGGGGTTTTTTTTTTGGTCCAGTCCATTTCCTTAGCAAATATACAAAGTCTTAGAGGTGTAATGGCTGCATGTAATGAAATGAGCTGACTGGCACTTTAGCATTCCCCTGTGTGGGAGCGTCTTAGGAGTAAAACACTTAATTATACTAACATTGTAATTGGAATGTGTGTGTGTGCATGCATGTGCAGCTTGGTTCTGGGTTGGAGGGGAATCCACATATCATGGCTTCCTAATCAAACTGTCTCCTCCTGTTGCATAGATAAATAAATGCATTTTGTATCTGTTACGTATCTTTTAACCTTCATTCGCCTCCAGTAGCAAAAGACAAAAATAGAGTGAACCAAGAAAAAGAGTAACAGAATATTAAGAAAACATTAACAGGAAAAGAACATCTTGTTAAGCGCTGCAGATAAGAACCACAAGAATTGTTCCCTTTATATGCTTCTCGCAGTACAGCATGTCCTGTATGTCTCAGCTGAAGTTATAGGCCAGCGTACAGGGAGGGTATTAGTTTTTAATGTGAAACGCTAGGTGTTTAAGTCAAGAACATTTTTCCACAGTTTGAAATTGTCAGGTGACTGCTGAAAGCTTGGGTTTATGATTGAGTTTCCAGAGCTGTTTCTTTGTTAGAGGCTTGCCACCTAGTGCTAATGCTTGGTACTGCTGCTGCTTTTATTTCCGCTTCAAAAAAGGACTTTAATCAATACTATGAAAACTGCTGTTTAATTGCTAATTTAACACAAGCAGCAGTTGCTAGGGATATGCAGAATGTAGAGATATTTGGCTCTCATGTGTTTGCAAAGGACCAAATACCCTTGAATAAAAATACCGAGAAAGTCACCTGCGGTTCTGAAGGAGCAAACAGTGCAGTTTACACTTGGATACCTCAGAAAGATATCAGCCTGGTTGCCAATTTATGCTAAGGCTTTGTATTGCTCTGGCAGTGTAAACCAAGTGGTGTAGAGACAGTCTAAGTGTGAATGAGAATCTGGTCCATTGAGGGCAAAGGTCTGCTGAAGAATGGGCAGGGAATAAACCACAAGGCTTATAAAATGGCAAAAGCTTGGCAAATAAAACTCATTCTTTCTCTCTCGGCATGTCTACACGAGATGTTTACTGTGGAGCTGACTGATTAACTCCGCAGTATAACATCACCATCTACATGTGAGAACCAGTTAGGTCATGGCAGACTAAATGCTGTGGCAGGTTAGTCCGGCTAAACACAAATAGTACTCTGCAGCAGCATTGTTTTGTGCACCACACTGCATATGTAGATGGTGGGGAGGCTGGCTGAGGCATAAGGGTGCTTCACTATAGGGGCTGTCTGCCAGCTTGCCCCGCACTGGAGCACCCATGTGCCTCAGCCAGCCCCTCTGCAGCATGTTGAGATGGGTTGGAGCAGCCCTGGGTCCACTGCCAACCCAGGCCTGCTAAGATGGGGCTCCATGTGCAGCAGGGGGACTGGCTGAGGCATGAGGATGCTTCAATGCAGGGGCTGCACCCTCATGCCCCAGCCACCCCCCTGCTGCATGTGGAGCCTGGTCAGAGCAGCCCTGGGCTGCCCAGGGAGGTCAGCTTGCCAGCCCAGGGATGCTCTGATGGGGCTCCCATGTGCTATACAGGTGCTGAGTGAAGCACAAGGGTGCTTCAGCATGGAGCTAACTGGCAGGCAACCCCCACTCTGAAGCACCCGCATGCCCCAGCCAGCCACTCCGCAGCACATGGATCCCCACTGGAGCAGCCAGCCCAGGGCTACTCCGATGAGAGTCCATGTGCTGTGCGTGAATAAACTCCAGAGCAATATGCCCTGGAGTGCTTTGCTCCCTGGCACACATTCAAACAGTATGCCTGGACTCAAAAAACCTCCAAGCAATAAGTGCCAGGGTTTATTTATGCATATTAGTTGCCTATGTAGACTCTTTCTCTCTCACCTCTACTAGAGACAGAACCTGACCATTCAAATGAGTATGGAGATTTCTTCTTCTGGACTGTTATAATTAACGCAAACGCTCTCAGTTAAGCTTCCTGTATATGCATTTAATGTAACATTAATAGCACAGCCAGGTTTTAACGTATTAACTAGTATCACAGTGCTGGAGTCTACTGCTCTTATTAGTGTTTTGACTAGTATTTCACTCTGCGTAGTTCCACTGAAATCAGTGAGGCTTTCCATTGAGTAAAGTGTTCCTTGCCCCAAGTAAGGATGTCAGTGTGGGGCACATAACTAGCCGTTTGGCATTGTTAATCTTCTCCATGGATCGCAGTGACTCTCAATTATCACTTGAGCACAGATCCTGAAAGGTGCTCATTGATTGTCAGATGTGGTCAGTATCAGTCCAGCTTTTGGGCTTCAAGTTTCTTTAACAGATAATAACTTACTTTTTGAGCCCGAAGTGCTGTGCTGATGATCAAGCCTACAGCAAATATTATTTCAATAGCTGCTTGGTGTTTGTTTAACATCAATTGTTGCCTTATGGGAATGATTCAATTGACATGGTCCCAAATCACCATTAATGTATTTGGTAATGATTGTTAAATACAGAGTAAGTGCAGGAGGGTTGTCTAGAGCACTGGAGGCCAACGTTTTTGGCAGGCAAGTCACAAATTAAGCCCCATGCCTGCCTTGAGTGCCAACCTGATCCCCTTTCCCTGCCCAATCTACCATTCTGCTTTCTGTTTCCTGCCCTGTGCTCTCTGTCTGATCTGTTGCCCTGTTTAATGCTCCTTGCTGTGTGCTCCCTGACTGATTTCCTGCTCTGCTGTCTGCTCCCTGCCCTGATTGCAGCTGTATTGCCTGCCTGCCTTCTCCCTGATTTGCTGCATGCCACACACACAAGTTTACTGTGTCACTTGTGGCACAGATGCTACAGGTTGGACACACTGGTCTAGAGGATAGAGCTGGGGTTGGGAGCCCAGGCTTCTGTGATCCATACCTTATTCTGCCACTGACTTGCTGTGAGAGCATTAAAAGCTTGGCAAGTCACCTAACAGATCTGTGCTTTCAGTGTCCTTTGTAAAACTGGTATGATAATGTGATGTTTAATCCCTTCTGAACATTACTTAGGACTTCCTCATAAGCAGCTACATCAGTTGTGTTATAATATTCTATTGACTCCTAAATAAAGGACATACTTGTTGATGTTTGCCTAGACAAATACAGAAAGATGAATGCATTTTAGGCCACTGAGGAAATTCCTGATCTGTGGTAGGCCATCAGCTCTCTCCTCCTAAGCCTTCCATTGCTCTGAAGTGCAAAGTCCAATTTTCTTCTGAATACATCTATTGAAGGAGCCTGGACAACTCCCATAGGTATTGATTTCATTGGCTGATTGACTAAACATGTAGGAATTTCCTTCTAATATCTAGCTTGGGCTTTGCTTTTATTATTTAGTATCAGGCTCTGACTCCCTTGTCCTGTTCTTTCCCATCCCTCACTCCCCCTTATGAAATTTAAAGTGCATCTAAAAGAGGACTGGGTTTGTAATAAGTTGCTTTAATTGGATTTGTTCACTATTGGTATGCACAGGTTATCTCTAAATGATTTACTGATGTACTGCCAAGCGCCGCTTATTTAACCTCCTTGCTGCAGTTCTGGTGTATGGATTCCTCTAATAGTACCAGCAAACAGCCTTTTATTGAAT